TATCTATCTATCTATCTATCTATCTATCTATCTATCTATCTATCTATCATCTATATCTAATGGGATGCATAGTGCAGCCACTGATTCCAGTTAGAGGATCACTTACCAACAGCTCTTCCTGTCTGCACAACATTTCGACTACTGGTAATCATGGCATTTCCAATCTTCTTACCATGTTCACTGTTCTGAACAGAACTAAATTAAGAAATAGAATAGCACTGTCTTACTGGTTTCTGCTAATTGCATGTATGTAATGTTTAATAACATTAATTATGGAACCAACTGGCAAAAGAAAGCTCGGGACTATATTAGATGAAAACATGAGGAAGAGGCCTTCATTCTCCAGTGGATAGACAATGGCTAAAATGATTATGATGATAAATGTTTAAGAATATCAATTAAACATAAGTAAATTGAAATATTAATTTATGTTTCAGTTAACTAGCACTACAATGGGTAAGGTATTTGGAATTTGAAATATTTTGAATCTAAAATTGTTCTATTTTAGAATTGCTTGAAACTCAATCTACTGGTGTTTCAATCTCAGAATGCTTCCAAGAATTTGAACATTATTTTTATTTCTAAATATTTTTAAAACTTGGTCTACATGCCTATTTAGAAGTATGTGAATAAGCTTCCAAAAAATTCTGAAATTTTCATAAAATATTGGTATTGATCAATCCATTTCACTTTTTAAGGCAATACTGCCATAACTGAACAATAAACTACTATATGCACATTTCAACTGTGAACAAGTTTAAAAATATAAGCAATACTTACTGTGATAATCTTAATTTTACATCAGAAACTGAATATTGTCCTTGGAATGGATGACTGAAAAGTGAGGTAGGCAGAAAAGAAAGAGAGAGAGAAGGTAAGCTGACTAACCATTTCATATACTTTCTCAGTTATAACTATTAACCATTTCCTTTGTGTGAAAAGGGATACATTAAAACATTTTGCCTCTTCTCTTCTTAGGAGTCAATATTATAAATATTTTCTATCCTTAGTGTTGCGGCCCAACAGCCGCCGGCTGAGCTGTTGGTGTAATCTGACAGCGATGAACACTATGGGGCTGCCCTGGAGGCTGAGGAAGACTCTGGGGGGTGTTTGGAGTCAGAGCAGGGACTAGAGAGGCCCATTGGCCACCAGATGGCGTTTGAGTCAGGGAGCAGTAAGGAAGAACAGAGGAAGGTTGTCCCTGACGTACATATGCGTAGGGCTGAGAGGAGGAGGGAGCAGCTTTGGAAAAAGGCTCACAGAAGGAAATAGGAACAGATGGCTACTGATTGGCCCCTCCCGGAGAGCTTATAAGGTGGGGTGACGGGAGGGGAATTTTACAAGAAACAACAGTTTACTAATCCAGGCGTAGTGAAAGATTGGGATAATTTCATGAGTTCAAGCCTTGTTTTCATAGAGATAATTTTCTGGCCTCCTAGCCAAGGGGTTGCTTATCTCCTTCCTTAGTTGTGGCAGACAGCTAAGTCTGCGTCAGTATATATTAGAGGCTTGGGAGAGAACACTTAAGGACTAAATTATTTTCTTGCCATGTTGCTTCAATAACTGGCTAGGTAATATTAAGGATAAAGGAAATTGAACACTTTCCGGCTTATTACATGAGCCCAACAAATCAGGAATAACTTGTCATATTTACATAACCTTTCTCATCAGGAAAAACACCAATGATGTTAAGCAAATATACTCCCAAATTTTGAGAAGTTTATCACCATCACTTTCACTTTCTCATTTCCATATAAATTGATATACTCTTACCTAGGATTTACTTCTGCGAGGGCTGGGTGTTTGTTACTGTTCCACACTCTATAATTATGAGTATTCTTCCAAGCTGCTACAAAGGCTGTTCCAAAGTCAGACAATATTTTCACACTATCTGCCAAATAAAACAAGTAAAGTAACTAGGTTGCAATACTTTCTTTCCTATAGGCATACCTACTGATTGTGCTCTGTTCTTGAACAAAAAAATAATATATATTTTCTGCTCAGTGAAAGACTAGTTTATTTTTTATTTTTTTAAAAAAATATTTTTATTAATGTTTAAAAAAACATTTTTTTGCAATTTCCTTCTGTACAACATTTTCACCTCAGTATACATCCATTATAAATGCACTTCTCCCCCCCCCTTATTTCAGTTTCTCTTTGTCTATACATGATACTATTATATACATTCCTTAATTTACAATCCTTCATTATGTATCATTTCCATTTATACATGTTTGTTCATCTCTATCAATATATTACTAATTTCTAACTCCTGTGTCTTCTTCATTTAGTCTTTCCTTAAGCTTTACATCTGTCCTCTAGCCATTTGTACCACTCGTTCCATACCATATAATATTCTGTTTCCTCCATTTCTTTTATTTCTTTTGTAAGTTTGTCCATCTTTGCACAGTCTTAACACTTTCATTATAACATTCCCCTTTGGTGGTGTATTATTCTTCCAATTTTGTGCAGATATTATTCTTGCTGTCATTATGATATGTATAATTAAATATTGTGGGGTTTTGGCCATTTTCTTATTCTATTCCAATATTGTTTAGCCTTTGGGCATAACACCATGTGGTAATACGTTCCTTGATTTTGTCTACATTTCCAACAGTTTGGTGATAAGTTCAGGTACATTTTAGTATAGCCAGCCAACAAACAGATTTAAAGATAGTTTCTATCCTTGGGCTGTGAGACTTTTAAATACAACCACAATCACTCCAAGCATACGCTGGTTTTTTTCTCTTTTTCTTTCTTTTTTCGTTTCTGTTATAATTTTGCACCAGTGAGGTTAAAACCAATTTCATTGTATTTAAGTACAATGACAATAAACATTATACTTATTTTACCCAATCTCGCTGGTGGGAGGTGCCATCTATAGAATATTTTATACATATTTTCCTTGTGGGCTACTGCCACTGTCAATTTATAATTTTCATTCCAAATTTTTTCCCATTTCTCCAAATCAATACTGTAACCAAAATTTTTGTCCCAAGTTATCATAGTTTCTTTATCTCTTCCTCCATTCTGTAATTCAATAGGTAGTTATATAATTTCTTGATCAATTTATCCTCTGTACCTTGTAAAATTTTACTTAGATCTTGCGGTTCTGTTTGCAATCTGTACTGTTCTTTATCTTTCTTATATCTAGCCTGTATCTGCATATATGGCCACCAATTGATGTTCATGCCCTGTTCTTTTAGTTCTAATCTTGTTTTAATTCTCCGTGATCATTTAGGAAATCTTTATTTCTTTTTATTTTATCCATGTCTAATACATTGGGTTAGATTAACATATCCATCATTGATAGCCAATTTGGAATTTTAATATAGTGTTTTTCTTTAGTGTTTTTTTTTTGTCATACTTGTAGCAAAGCATCCCTAATTAAATGTTTCTGAAAATAACTATAGGTGTTATTTTTGCCATCCCATATAAATGCGTACCATCCTAACTGTAAGTCATGGTCTTCTAAAATCAGTGTTCTTTTATTTTTTTCAACTCAGTCCAATCTTTCATCCATGTAAGTGCCACTGCCTGGTAGTATGTCTCCCAATCCGGGAGCCCGAATCCTCCACTTTCTCTACTATCCTGCAATAGTTTTATTTTAATTTGTGCTTCCCCCCCCCGCACCCAGCCAAATGTATTTCATAGTTAGGTTATTTAACTCTCTTAAAAAGCTTTTATCTAATTTTATTGGTGCTACTTGAAAGAGGAACAGTATTTTTGGTAAAATGTTCATTTTGATGGCAGCTATCCTTCCTATAAGGGACAATTGTAGTTTTTTCCATGTTTCCAAATATTTTTTAATCTGTTGTATTCATTTAGTGTAGTTATCTTCTTTGATTGAGGAACATCTGCCTGATAGCCAAATCCCCAAATATGTATGTCTATTCTTTCTTCCAATTCTCTTTCCTGTTTTTTTAGAAAGATTTTTTGTTATTGCCTTTGTTTTATTTTTGTTAATTTTAAGTCCTGCTACTCTATCATATTCTTCTATGTGTTGCACCAGTTCGGGTCCTGTCTCCAATATAAATACTAAATTGTCTGCAAATGTTTGGACTCTATTCTTTTTTCCTTATTTTCAAACCCTGATCCCCTCTGATTTTTATTAGCAATACCTCCAAGGTTAATATGAATGATAAAGGAGAAAACAGGCATTCTTGTCTTACCCTCTTCCCAATAATAAATTTTTCAGTAGTATCACCATTTATTATCACTTTGCTGTTGGGTTGTGTATTTTTTCCCCACTATCTTTACAAATTTCTCCCCAAAGTTCATAGTCTCCACTTGTAAAATAATAAATCTCCAATTTAAATTATCAAAGGCTTTTTGGATATCCAAAAAGATTAAGGCAGCTTGCTTTCCTGAATATGTTCTTCATAATATTCTAGTGTATTTATAATGGTTTTCATGTTGTTTCTTATTTATCTTTTTGATAAAAATCCATTTTGGTCTGGATGGATATACTCATTTAGAATCTTTTAAACTCTGTATGCAATTATGGATACAAATATTTATAGTCTACATTCAGCAGTGAAATGGGTATGTAGTTTTTAATCTGATGTGGGTCTGTATCTTCTTTTGGAATAAGTGTAATAAGTATTTCTGTCCATGAATTTGTTATCTTCGCTTCTACGAGCACCTCGTTGAATAATTATTCATTAATATATCTAAAGGTTCTTGTACCGTCTTATATAGCTCCACAGATATCACCAGGTCTGGTGTTTTATTCTTCCTTTGTTTCTTCCTTGTCTCCACTAATTCCATCATAGTTATTGGTTCATTTAATCTCTCTCTTTTTATCTCTGTAATTTTTGTTAAGTTTATCTTATTCAGGTATTGTTTGATATTATCCTCCGATACATGCTCCTGCCGATACAAATTTTGAAAAATTTGTTGTGTTATTTTCTTTTTTTCCTACTCTTCTATGGCATGTCATGCCCTCCTTGTCTTGTAAATAGGCTATTATTCTTTTCTCCTTTTCTTTCCTTAATCTATATGCCAGCCAACGCCCTGAATTATTTGCATGCTCAAAGAAGTTTTGCTTTGCCATTTTAATTTTCTGGGCCATTTCATCTTGTGTAATCCGGTTCAATTTATGTCTTATTAGATCTATTTTTCTTTTTATCTTGTTGTTTTGGGGCATGGACTATAAATCTAATTCTAGTATTTTAATTTCTTCCTGAAACTCTTCTTGTTTTTGTTTCCTTTTCTTATTTCTTCTTGCCGTGTATGCTATAGTCCTCGTATATATGTTTTAGTGGTATCCCACAAATTTTGTAGTGGTGTCTTCTTTTTTGCTTATTTTGAAAAATGCTGTCATCTCTGTTTCAATCATCTGTGTATATTCTTTTTGTTTCAGTATTTCCTTGTTCATTGTCCATCTACGCTTTTTCTTTTGTCCTTTCCATATTACTTTTATGGGGTTGGTCTGCCCAGATGTTAGTCATTATTTCTATCTCTTCAATGTCTTTTATTAGTCCTGAAGTCATCCATGCTATATTGATCCTAGACCATGATTTCTGTGGATTAGAATAGAATGTAAATTGGTTCTGTCTCCTATTTGTTTCTCTCCACGCATCTTATAGGCTCAGTTCTTGTGTCATTTTGAAGAAAGAGTCTGGCAGTGTTCTCTTCCTTATCTTATTCTTCTTGTTGCTTTTATAATCTTTTTTGATGTCCACTATTGAATTGAAATCTCCAATTAAGCATATGTTTTCGTACTCAATTCCATTATTTTGTTATATATATACTTTTCTGTAATATTCAGTTTGGTTGTTGTTTGGTGCATAGATTATAGTAAGGAGTATTTGTTTTTGCTCTGTTTTAATCTCGATCATTAAAATTCTTTCCTCCTCGACTGTATAGATTAATTTTGATTCAAGTCTTTCCTTAATATAAGTTACAATTCCTCTTTTTTTCTGTTGCGTTAATAATGCATACATCTTCCCTAACTAGGTTTTCTAATAATTTGCTATATTGTTTTTTTGATGTGTACCTCCTGCAAGCATGTAATGTCGATATCCAATCTTTGTAGTTTTGTGAATATTTGAGGATTTTTCCCTGAAGAATTTAACCCATTTATGTTTATGGAGACCATCTTAATTTCCTCCTCCATCTTTTTTCCTTGTATTCTTTGTCTCTCTCTGTATTTTCCCTCTTACATCTTCTCTTTCTAGTGGTTCTTTCTCCTGTTTTTTCCTAGCTTCTTATTCCCCCTCATTCTTCTCCGTTTGATATTCCTCTTGGCTCCTGCACTCAACTTCTTCTCTGCTCTCTTGGTCTTCTTCAGTTGCCAGATGGTGTTCGAAGAACTCTTGTGCTTTCTCAATGGTATTTATCTTAAATTTTTTCTCCTGCAAGGAAATCAGGATACCTTCTGGCACCAGCCAACAGAACATCACATTATATCTGATTAATTGCAAAGTTAAGAACTGGTACTGCTGCCTTTGATTTCTCACTCTCCTTGGTATTTGTTTCAGTATTTGTATTTCCTTTCCTTTGTAAGTTATTGTTTCTTCCTTCATTTTCTTGCATACTTTGTCTCTTATCATCCTTTTCGTGAATCTCACGTGAACTTCTTTCGGTAACCTGGGTCTGCATGCATAGTTGGTATATATCTGTACACCTCATCTATATCTCTCTGCATATCCCGTTTGTCCCTCTGCAATACCTCCACTAGAGGCTCTGACATCATCTCATCTAGATCTTCCTTCTAAGATATTCTGAAATATTCTGAAAACTTAAAAATAAGGATGCTTTCTCCATCTCCAGAATGATGATAGATTCTTCAAGATCTCTATTTACGAGTCCATATTTCTGTTCTGTTGTTTCCATCTTTTTGTCTAATTGTTCCATTTTTGTCTCTATTATTTTTATTATCTGTTC